GGTGCAGCTCGGTTGAGCTGCGTTTCCCACTCGTGTCAAGTTCCAGAGAGAAATGATCGGAGGCTTCTTCACTCATTGCTATCGGTGGCCCTGAAGCCAACCGGTGCAAATTCCATGTTCCCATGGTGGGTGTGATTTTCCCCGACTTAATTGCCCTCGTATAACATTAAGTAAGTGGAAAATCTTCGTCCGCAACAACTCTGCTTTGCGTATTGTCGAGTTTGTGCCTATTACCAGCATCTGTTCAAGCAAGCCTGACGCTTCTGATGAGACTGAATGTAGAAACTAGTCCAGAGTTCGCTTGTGCTGTGGCTGTTTGGATGTGTAAAAGTAAAAGTAAAAAAGAATAATTTCGTGTTTTCAAGCAGAGGGACAGGTGTGTGACGCATGCGTATTTGTCTCCTTATTTATTTTACCGCCTCTTCATGCAACGTGCCAGCAGCTTGAAGTGAACTCCACAGCGCTGATTTATCAGTACATTCTTGAGATTCAGCTTTTTGTGACCACAAGAATCCAAAACCGGACCGGTGAGTGCGTGAGAGGAGCACGCCGGGACTGGCTCGTCCTCGCAGAGCCCGTGGGGAACCGTGCAACCCCCCCCTCCCCCACCACGGCAGCCTCGGCCGTGGCCACAACCCTCACGGCAGCAGCAGCGGCGGCGTCTCCCGTTACACAAGGACTTGCTCATTGAGTCAGGGCACCGCTCCCAGCGAGCGCATGCTGCGACACGTGCTCCCTGTGCCGCTTGCCGCTCAGGATTTCACTTGTTGGGGTGGGGGGAGGGCATTCCAGCGGTTCGTCCACCCGTGGGCAATCCCACAAGTTGCCCGAACTCGGCGAAATAATGAAACGCAACTTCACGCTGTGTTGAATATAGAAACTTCTGACAGCTGCATTAGTCGCGTTATTGTGATTATTATTACACTTGTTTACCCAGAGTGGTTGCGGTTGGGGGGGGAAGGGGGGGTGACGATCGCTGCTCTGTTGTTTGCCAGTTAAGTCATTGGGTCAATCCGTGGCAAATCAACAAGGGCCTGCAAGTGGGCTTGGTCTTTAGCGGCGCGAAGTTGGAGAAGGTTTTCCAACTTTCAGCTCTTGTCACGACCCGTGATCCCATGGTGGTATTTACAAGGGAGAGGTGGAGGGGGGGGCGGCTTGTTGGAGGCAAGTGTTTTTTTTGGTAATTTGGAAAACGTAGCTGCCGCTCGAACGGCCCGCTCTGCAAAGGCGTCGCGCGATCTTAACCGTCCGCAACCATTCGGGCGGCGCGGAGCGTTTGTGGTTGATGGTGGCATTAACCGGGGATGGCCCGCAGGCCCTGAGCCGCGAACTTCCGCGACGAGCCGACTGACACGACCAGCCGACTGACGCGACCGGTGAACTGACGCGACCAGCCGACTGACGCGACCGGTGAACTGACGCGACCGGCGAACTGACGCGACCGGCGAACTGACGCGACCGGAGAACTGACGCGACCGGAGAACTGACGCGACCGGCGAACTGACGCGACCGGAGAACTGACGCGACCGGAGAACTGACGCGACCGGCGAACTGACGCGACCGGCGAACTGACGCGACCGGAGAACTGACGCGACCGGAGAACTGACGCGACCGGCGAACTGACGCGACGGAGAACTGACGCGACCGGAGAACTGACGCGACCGGAGAACTGACGCGACCGACGAACTGACGCGACCGGAGAACTGACGCGACCGGCGAACTGACGCGACCGACGAACTGACGCGACCGGAGAACTGACGCGACGGCGAACTGACGCGACGGAGAACTGACGCGACGGAGAACTGACGCGACCGGAGAACTGATCGCGACCGGCGAACTGACGCGACCGGAGAACTGACGCGACCGGTGAACTGACGCGACCGGAGAACTGACGCTACCGGAGAACTGACGCGATACCGGCGTCAGCGAACTGCCGCAACCGGAGAACTGACGCGACGGAGAACTGACGCGACGGAGAAATGACTGCGACCGGTGAACTGACTCGACCGGAGAACTGACGCGACCGGAGAACTGACCGCGACCGACGAACTGACGCGACGGAGAACTGACGCGACCGGCGAACTGACGCGACGGCGAACTTGACGCGACCGGAGAACGACGCGACCGGAGACTGACGCGACGGAGAACTGACGCGACCGGCGAACTGACGCGACCGGAGAACTGACGCGACCGGAGAACTGACGCGACCGGAGAACTGACGCGACCGGAGAACTGACGCGACCGGAGAACTGACGCGACCGGAGAACTGACGCGACCGGAGAACTGACGCGACCGGTGAACTGACGCGACCGGTGAACTGACGCGACCGGCGTCAGCGAACTGACGCGACCGGAGAACTGACGCGACCGGAGAACTGACGCGACCGGTGAACTGACGCGACCGGAGAACTGACGCGACCGGAGAATTGACGCGACCGGCGAACTGACGCGACCGGCGAACTGACGCGACCGGAGAACTGACGCGACCGGAGAACTGACGCGACCAGGGAGGCGGCGGGGGTGGAAACGTTCCGACCTTCTGGCGCGATTCGAGGCCAATGCCGCGATGATGAGTCCGCACGGCGTCACTCTGCTAGCACGTGGCGGCCTCTTTCCCCCATCCGCCTCCCCAGAATAGCGCCACGCGGGGGCCCCGCGGGAAGAGCTGCGTCGGCGTTTGTTTTGAATCGATGCGTCGACGCGCGTTTACGCTTTGTGCAAGCATCAGCGGTGGGCGCCTACTGAGTGGGGAGCGAGCGCGTGAGGGTCATCGACATTGTGAAAGCAACACGACACAATGCAACTGTGTGGCAGTGGTGGGAAGAGGTGGGAAGAGGTGGGTAGTGGTGGGAAGTGGTGGGAAGTGGTGGGAAGAGAGGATCAGAAGGGAAGTTTGTGTCGACCAAGGCAAGTGTGGCTCAGCGGCGGTAGAGCAAGCAGCTCTCAGTCGGGAGGTTGCAAGCCGCAACTCCTAGTTGGGGCATTGAAACTAAAACTATAAAAAATGTATTTCACCAGGTAAGGCCCACTGAGCTATGTAGCTCTTTTCACAGAACTGGCCTCGCCACAAATGATAACTCGACGAAGTGGCTTGTGTGGACATTTATAGCAATAGCCAATTACTCTGAACGCGTGTTGATTGTATGCGAAGGGAAAAACCGCAGGACCCAGAGAAAAGCTCCAAATATACAGCAGCAGGCGTCAGGTTCAGGATCGAACCCACAACCTCCTGTATGCCAGGCGAGGTAGTTAACATCTCGCTACCGTGGCACCCACCATTCCTCCGGGGTCAATAACACGAGGACCACCTTGTGGGGGAGGGGAAACGTGGTGGTTCTGTGGAGACTCGCCCCCATCATCGGTTGGCTCCGTACGGTGCAAAAGAAGTTCAACATACATACGAACACAAACACGAATGTGGAATTTCCACCGCTGGCTCTGCAGGGCTGCAAGTGAAAGATGAGCTCCAATGTTTTTTTGGGGTTTGGGGGGGTCACTTTGACGTGTGGTGCTCCCCCGGAATGCCGTGCGGTGTGTTGAGATGTCACCCGCAGGGCCGGCGCTAAGAGAGTTTGCGTTGTCCTGCACCGGGGCCCACGATTCTCGTGAGGACGTTGAACAATAATAACAGACTTTGCCCCTTTCTGGTAATATAACAGGAGGTGTTAAGGTATTCAAACGCCAAATAGGTCGTACTCGAATTATAAATGTAGTGGGTTTACTCTCCAGCACACCGGTGTGCTGAACTAGTAACGAATTGGCCACGTTTTCTTTACGTGTGTCGCATGCTCGCGGGTTTAACTACTACACATTTATATTCACGCAATCTCGCCCAAAATAATCTCTGCATTAACCGCACATACTTGGGGCGAATTATGCAAACCAACATGCAATGATCGTGTCTGCATTGTCCTTGAGACTGATTGGCCTACACCAGAGACAGCCTTCTTGATGTTCGACCAGAGAACACCAAAAGTTGAAACGTACAAAGATAATGCAAGCATATTGCGATGTGTCACCCTGGTTGTGAGTGAGTTGCGGTGTCGTTTAAAAATGTGGCACATTTCGACCGCGACGCCGTCAACGTCGTCCACTTCTTTCGCTCGGTACGTCGCCCACCGTGCTCATTGGAGGTGCATTGTAAAATACGGACGAGACGCCCGCAGTGATAACCAGGGCGGCCTAATAACCAGGGGGGGAGGGGGGGGGCGGACGTACCGCCGCTGCGTCCGCGGAATCTCCACCCCAAGGGTTGAGGTCGAAGTCTTGATGAGCGCTCGTTGACGTAGCAGTGTGTGCGTGACGGTCCGCGGCACTGAGCGAATGCGGCGTTATTAGCTTTGTGTCTCGTAGAGATTCGTTGCCTGCAGCCGATGCTCCTCGCGTTGACGGCACACGCGATGAATGCTGCTGGCCGAAGTTCGTCTGGAAGCCGGTAGCCGTGTGGGGTGGCGTGCTCAGCTTGGGCCATGGTACAAGCAGCGAATCGGGGGACCCCCTGTCTACTTTCCCTCTGTAGCCGCCCCGCACCTGGGCCCGGTGCTATCAACCCCTCCGATTAGTACGGTTGGCTACGTATGGTGACACTGCAGTCATGCCTAATAGTTACTCCGCTAGCCCGTGGGCTGATGGACGAATTATACTGAGAACTCGAGGAATGACCACCATGGAGATGGAGCGATGACGCTGGAAAGGCAGCCAGAGTCGGCGCCAACATTTGCCCAGCTCCGTTGGCCGTGCTGCCATAACACGCTGGGCGTAAGCCAGCGAGCGTGTGATGGTGACCTCAACGCCCACAGGCAGGGATGCCGTTTGATGCGTTTGATAGATCCGCTGACTTTCGCCTCCCATCGTTGTAGATAACAGGGACACGTGTGAGCGTAGCCACCAGTGCCGGCCATTGGTATGGTGGTGTGGTTTGGTGTAGATGTCCGGTGGCGGTGATGTTACATGTGGTTTACCCTCCGTGCTCCCCCTGTCTTTTCCCGTGTGTGCTGGCAGTGAGCGAACGAGTGGCATCCGTGTGGAGCCATGAACAAGAGCTATTACGACATCTTGGGCGTGGTGCGCGGCGCCAGCCCCGATGAGATCAAGAAAGCGTAAGAGACGCATTGACAACACCGCACAGCCACCACTCACACCACCACCACCACACAGCTACCATTCACATCACTCAGCATCACCACCACCACACAGCTACCATTCACATCACTCAGCATCACCACCACCACCACACAGCTACCATTCACATCACTCATATCACCACCACCTCCGCACAGCCCCCATTCACATCACCACCACCACCACTCATCACCACCACCACACAGCCTCATTCACATCACTCAGCGTCACCACCATACAATGTGGTGGGTGAGTTGGGCGAGGTGGGTTGCGCCCCATCCTCTGTCGGATGCTGAGAAGCAGCTTTGTGCCGTTGTCTCTAATTGGCGTCTGCAGAGGCCGCTGTGTTCTGACGCCCCCACAAAGCCGTTAAGTCGGCTCCAATGTGTGCGGAATGCGGCCGCCAGAGTTCCAATCTTAGCATGCGCATTACGAGCCCACAGCTCGAGTTAATTTTCTTCCTGCCGATCAAGTTTTTGGTGGAGTTCAACATCTCCCTCCTCCTAGTAACCCACAAGGCCCCCAATGGTGCCGCTCCAATACACATTCGCGAACCTTCTCCATCTTCGAGTTCCTGAGCCCTGCGGCCCCGTGATGCCACCGCCGCTGTCGTGCGTGCCGAGGTCCGCGAGACGTTTGGTTCGCCTAGCCTCTCCGCTCGTGCGCGTCCCCCACAGTTGGACGCGTTCCTTCTCAAAGGCCTTTCCACTTCCTCCGAAGGCGATCTTTAGCTGTTGGGTTTTGTCTGGTGGGGCGTTCTCATCACGCCTGCCTTTTGTGGTTTTTATGGGGTGTTCACTGCGGGGTTTTATGAGTAAGTAATTTGAATTGCTGCTTCTAGTTCTGTACGGTACCTTGCGACCTCCGCGGTGAAAGGCGCTTTGCGAGTGTTGAGGTGTGAACCGCTTTCTTCGTTGATGTATTTTCACGAAAACTGCCAAATCCTAAACCGATGTCTTATCAACATTGACACACAGCTCACCAGTGTGCCCAGATGTTCATAGTTTTGGGAAGGATTTCCGCCAAAGTACATTTTTTTATTAATCGAAATAAAAAGAAAGTAACGTTACGCTGCGACGAGTACTATGGGAGAACACGTACTCACGCGTGCGCATTTTAACTCCCGAGGCCTAACGTCGTACCCGCCTCGCTCGTGCATGCGTGCTTCGTGCATTTTTATTTTATTAAAATATCTCACCATCGTTTGCCGCGGCGTGTCGAGTGACAGACGCATAGCCGCCCGATACCCCATGGCGTGCGCACGCGTGCACGCACACGCCTCATTGTGCAGTCAGATTTTCGAACGCACGCGTGCACGCACATGCCTCATTGTGCAGTCAGATCTTCGAACGCAACAGATGCTCGCTTGACGCGCTCTCCTTGCCAGCTACGGCGTCGGTGCTCGTCAGATTCTCTCGGCACGTTCATATTTTGCCTCTGGCCGTTGCACGGTGCTGGCGAGCGTGCACGCGGCTCCGCTGATGGATGCCACCCAGGACAAGCGTCTGCCTCGCGCTCTCTCCTGGCACGATGTTCTCGTGACGTTCTCTCGACGTTCTCTCAACTACCCGATCAGACCCCCCCCCCCCCGCTCGTTAAACGCCGAAAACACCTCTCAACAACAACACACACCCACTCGCCACACGACAGGTCACAGCAACAACAACACACCCACCCATTCAACCACACTACAGGTCACAACAACAAAGACAAAGATCCCCCGTATAACCTTAACAGGCTGTTGGGGCAAGTTATGTTAGCGAGCACCTATGAAGGCCGACATAGCGCACGAGGGGGTGGGTGGCGAGCACCACGCCCAGCGGCCTTTGTCTCCCTAGTGGCGATGTTTACACACTGCACCATGTACTCATTTGAGGCCGAGTCGATCTAGGGGAGGCCCAGGACAGTTCAGATAATTGTCACTGGTGTTGACCCTGTGCGGGAATCGAACTCGGGTCATCAGGTTCCTGACGCGGTGCACTAACTGCAACACTACAGCTTCCCACAAGACACTAACCCACCCATTCAACCACACTGCAGGTCACAACAACAACACACCCACCCACTCAACCACACTGCAGGTCACAACAATACACCCACTCAACCACACTGCAGGTCAAAAACATCAACACACCCACCCACTCGCCACACTGCAGGTCACAACAACACACCCACCCACTCGCCACACTGCAGGTCACAAAAACAACACACCCACTCACCACACTGCAGGTCACAACAACAACACACCCACCCACTCAACCACACTGCAGGTCACAACAACAACACACCCACCCACTCAACCACACTGCAGGTCACAACAACAACACACCCACCTACTCAACCACACTGCAGGTCACAACAACAACCCGCCCACCCACTCAACCACACTGCAGGTCACAACAACAACAACACACCCACCCACTCAACCACACTGCAGGTCACAACAACAACAACACACCCACCCACTCGCTACACTGCAGGTCACAACAGCAACAACACACCCACTCAACCACACTGCAGGTCACAACAACAACAACAACACATCCACTCAACCACACTGCAGGTCACAACAACACACCCACCCACCACCCGTCCACTTGCCACACTGCAGGTCACAACAACAACAACAACACACACACCCACTCAACCACACTGCAGGTCACAACAACAACAACACTCCCACACATCCCATTGCCACACTGCAGGTCACAACAACAACAACAACACACCCACTCACACTGCAGGTCACAACAACAACAACAACACACCCACTCACACTGCAGGTCACAACAACAACAACAACACACCCACTCACACTGCAGGTCACAACAACACACCCACCACTCGTCCACTCGCCACACTGCAGGCCACCTCTCTTCTCTCTCTGCTTCTTCCCTCACACTGCTCCACTCTGAAATTTCCTCTTCCCATCATCATCATCGCCAGCGTCTCATGCCCTTAAATGCGTTCACTCTGCATCTAGTACAATTCCGACAGTGCTGTCTGTTGCTGACCACTTGACGTGTTGGGCCTTGGGGTCGGTGCTCGGAGACTGTGTTTAAACAAAGAGAAGGAGAGGTGTGGGCCGTGGCTTGGTGTTCGCTCTCTCGTGTCTGTGTGGAACACTCAGGGACCCTCCTTAGGAGACCGCTGTAGCCGGATAGTCACTCACGCGCCCTTTCGATTTCGTGACGCGCCCAGTTTTTCCTTTCACTCTCGGAGACCGGGAGACAACGATTTGGCGGCGCTGGAAACCACAGATGAGCATTGAGGGCGGCCACAACCGGCGTCAACAATTGCCCAAGCTCTGTGGTCCTATTTTGGGGTGTTTGGCCAACTCCATTATCGGGTGCTCGTACACGCGGGAGGAAGCCCCTGCGTGCGAGGGGACGGAGTCGTACACTCAATCTCAGCACAGATGGGAACGAGTCCCACTTGCTGTGCTGACGCCATCATACCCTGGCCGTAAGCGACCTCGACGCCAAACAAAGTGTGTGCGTGTGTGATGCACCAACCCCCACTGCTTGCACGGTGCTACACGACTGGCCATATGCTGCGTAGCTGGCCATGCCCGGCTGAAGGCGACAACGCTCGCTGCTACCACCCTCGCACTGCCCCTCCTGCTGCGCCTCCCCCATTCCCCCCATCCCCCCCCCCCCCCGTGGCTGCGTGCTTGTGTTTGTCCGGGGAACCGTGTTCAATGCGTGTGGGAGGCCCCACAGCCTCTTGCACGGCTCACCGCTCGGGGCAGTCTTCATACCAGAGCCAATCGCTCGCTTCCCCTCGCACGATTGCCCACTTTCTCTCTCGGCCATCATTCACCACTTCCACTTGCGCGTTCACTCGCTCGCCTGCCCACTCGCCCACCCTCTTCCCACTCATTCGCTCGCCCTCATTGCTCGCATTCACTAACTCCGCCAACGCACTTCAACGATCCACTCGCCCAGCCACCCTCTCATCCACCCATTCACTCACCCAGATGACCGACTCGCTCACCCACTCGCCCAACCTCACCCCACTCACTAACAATCATTGACCATACCACCTATGCAGCCACTCGCTCACCAATTCACCCGCCACACTGAGCGACTAACTCGCTCGCCTACGTCAGAAGCTTCACTCTGGCATTACTTCTTCAGTAATTCCTGGCTCTGCGGAGTTGCGCTGGCTCCTGACCGATCAGTGCGTGACGGTCGTCTACAGCTTTGCCTTCACCTTATCTTCAGAGGCATGGGCCTCCTCGTGTGTCATTTTTGCTTCCCCCCCCGACAGCGGAAATGCCGCTGGCGTGCCAGCGACGGACAGCAACACGCGTGACGCGATGGGTCGGTGCGCGCGTGCGAGCCGGCCTTCGCTCGGCGGGCCATCCCGTTGGCTCTCCGGGAGGGTGTCGGTGGGCCCCGCGTCGGGGTCGGCGCGCTCGAACGCGGGGCAGCCATCGTGACGATGGGAGGAGTTCTGGTTAACACTCGCGCTCGCTCCCTCGCTGCCACCCTCCCCCGTGCTCACGCTCGTGCTGACGGTCGGATTTTGCGTCGTGTGAATTTTCAGCTACCGCAAGCTCGCGCTGAAATGGCACCCGGACAAGAACCCGGAGAACAAGGAGAATGCCGAGAAGCAGTTCAAGGAGATCGCGGAGGCGTACGAGGTCCTCTCTGACGGTGAGCGCCCCGAATAACAACAACAACCGGAGTGCGCTCGTTAACACGCAGCACGGGATCTCAGCCAGAGTATCGCACTTCGTTGCCTTCTGTATGTGTACATACGTATTTTTGGAGAACCTGTTTCGCACCGTATGTAGCCAACCTGGCGGGAACAGTCCGTGTCGATAAATCCACGAGGTTAGAATGACTTCCTGGTTTTTATTCTGGCTTCCTGGGCCTTGTCCTGAAGATGCTGCTAGCGAACCATCGTGTTTGCTCAGTCTTGTTGTGAGAATCGCTCTCGAACCCAAACCTATGGTGAGGGATCCAAGACAATTTTATAACAATTTAATAATGTTTGTCTATGTCGGTGGGTGGAACGTTATTACGACGCAAATTTGGCCAGGTCGTCACACGTGGCCTCGCTCACAAAGCGCTTTACGAGCCGTAGTTTACTCCTGGTCACTCTCTGGGGGAAGCCTCCGCGAGTCTGAAGGGAAGACTCCTGTCGGCTGCACCGAAGCCACTAGGTTTACCATGAGCCTCATCGCCCCCTACTGCGGGACAGCTGGCAATAACCCTCCTAGTAGCTTTGAGACTCGGTGAGCGAGACTGAGCGATGCTGCGACGATGTGGTCTCGTGGCCGATGGTGACCGCGGTGGCGTCCCTGTGGTGTCGCAGAGAACAAGAGGGAGACGTACGACCGCTACGGCAAGGCAGGGCTCACGGCGCGACTCGGTGAGCAGCCACAGCCGCCCTCTACGGACCAACGCTCACCACACCACCGCACTCACCACGCATCTCACTCACCACAACACCACATTCGCCTACACACTCACCACACACTACACTAACGTACACACTCGCCACACACCACACTCACCTACACACTCACCACACACCACACTCACCTACACACTCACCACACACCACACTCACCTACACCCTCACCACACACCACACTCACCTACACACTCACCACACACCACACTCACCTACACACCCCACCATACACAGCACTCACCTACACACTCACCACACACCACACTCACCTACACCCTCACCACACACAGCACTAACCTACACACTCACCACACACCACACTCACCTACACCCTCACCACACCACACTCACCTACACCCTCACACACACAGCACTCACCTACACACTCACCACACACCACACTCATCTACACCCTCACCACACACCACACTCCCTACACCCTCACCACACACCACACTCACCTACACACTCACCACACACCCAACTCACCTACACACTCACCACACACCACACTCACCTACACACTCACCACACACCACACTCACCTACCACACTCACCACACACCACACTCACCTACACACCTCACCACAGACCGCACTCCCTAACACCCTCACCACACACAGCACTCACCTACACACTCACCACACACCACCTCCTCTACACCCTCACCACACACCACACTCACCTACACCACCCACACACACCACACTCACCACACACCACACTCACCTACACACTCGCCACACACCACACTCACCTACACACTCCCACACACCACACTCACCTACACCCTCACCACACACCGCACTCACCACACACTCACCACACACCACACTCACCTACACACTCACCACACACCGCACTCACCTACACACTCACCACCACACCACACTCAACTACACACTCACCACACACCGCACTCACCTACACACTCACCACACACCCGCACTCACCTACACACTCACCACACACCGCACTCACCTACACACGCACCACACACCACACTCGCCTACACACTCACCACACACAGCACTCACCTACACACTCACCACACACCACACTCGCCTACACCCTCACCACACACAGCACTAACCTACACACTCACCACACACCACACTCACCTACACACTCACCACACACCGCACTCACCTACCCACTCACCACACACCGCACTCACCTACACACTCACCACACACCACACTCACCTACACACTCACACACACCACACTCACCTACCACACTCACCACACACCACCACACCTCACCTACACCCTCACCACACACCGCACTCACCTACACACTCACCACACACCACACTCACCTACACACTCACCACACACCACACTCACCTACACACTCACCACACACCGCACTCGCCTACACAACTCACCACACACCCGCACTCACCTACACCCTCACCACACACCGCACTCACCTACACCCTCACCACACACCGCACTCACCTACACCCTCACCACACACAGCACTCGCCTACACACTTACCACACACCGCACTCACCTACACCCTCACCACACACCGCACTCGCCTACACACTCACCACACACCGCACTCACCTACACCCTCACCACACACCACACTCACCTACACACTCACCACACACCGCACTCGCCTACACACTCCCACACACCGCACTCGCCTACACACTCACCACACACCACACTCACCACACACCACACTCACCTACACACTCACCACACACCGCACTCACCTCACACTCACACAACACCGCACTCACCTACACACTCACCACACACCACACTCACCTACACACTCACCACACACACACTCACCTACACCCTCACCATACCACAGCACTCACCTACACACTCACCACACACCACACTCGCCTACACCCTCACCACACACAGCACTAACCTACACACTCACCACACACCACACTCACCTACACACTCACCACACACCGCACTCACCTACACACTCACCACACACCGCGCTCACCTACACACTCACCACACACCGCGCTCACTACAACACTCACCACACACCACACTCACCTACACCCTCACCACAGACCGCACATCACCTACACCCTCACTACACACAGCACTCACCTACACACTCACCACACACCACACTCATCTACACACTCACCACACACCACACTCACCTACACCCTCACCACCACCGCACTCACCTACACACTCACCACACACCACACTCACCTACACACTCACCACAACACCACACTCACCTAACACACTCACCACACCACCGCACACTTCGCCTACACACTCACCACAACACCGCACTCACCTACACCCTCACCACACACCGCACTCGCCTACAACCCTCACCACACACCGCACTCGCCTACACACTTACCACACACCGCACTCACCTACACCCTCAACACACACCGCACAGCGCCTACACACTCACCACACACACCGCACCACCTACACACTCACCAACACCCACACTCAACTACACACTCACCACACACCGCACTCACCTACACACTCAACCAACACCGCCACTCACCTACACACTCACCACACAACCACACTCGCCTACACACTCACCACACACAGCACTCACCTACAACACTCACCACACACCACCCTCGCCTACACCCTCACCACACACAGCACTAACTACACACTCACCACACACCACACTCACCTACACACATCACACACACCGCACTCACCTACACACTCACCACACACCGCACTCACCTACACACTCACCACACACCACACTCACCTACACACTCACCACACACCACACTCACCTACACACTCACCACCACCACCACACTCACCTACACCCTCACCACACACCGCACTCACCTACACACTCACCACACACCACACTCACCTACACACTCACCCACACACCACACTCACCTACACACTCACCACACACCGCACTCGCCTACACACTCACCCACACACCGCACTCACCTACACCCTCACCACCACCGCACTCACCTACACACCCTCACCAACACCCGCACTCGCCTACACACTTACCACACAACCGCACTCACCTACACCCTCACCACCAACCGCACTCGCCTACACACTCACCACACACCGCACTCACCTACACCCTCACCACACACCACACTCACCTACACACTCACACACACCGCACTCGCCTACACACTCACCACACACCGCACTCGCCTACACACTCACCACACACCACACTCACCACACACCACACTCACCTACACACTCACCACACACCGCACTCACCTACACACTCACCACACACCGCACTCACCTACACACTCACCACACACCACACTCACCTACAACACTCACCACACACCACACTCACCTACACCCTCACAATACCAGCACTCACCTACACACTCACCACACACCACACTCGCCTACACCTCACCACACACAGCACTAACCTACACACTCACCACACACCACACTCACCTACACACTCACCACACACCGCACTCACCTACACACTCACCACACACCGCGCTCACCTACACACTCACCACACACCACACTCACCTATACACTCACACACACCCACACTCACCTACACACTCACCACACACCGCACTCACCTACACACTCACCACACACCGCACTCGCCTGCACACTCACCACACACCGCACTCGCCTACACACTCACCACACACCGCACTCACCTACACCCTCACCACACACAGCACTCGCCTACACACTCACCACACACCGCCACTCACCTACACCCTCACCACACACCACACTCACCTACACACTCACCACACACCGCACTCGCTACACACTCAACACACACGCACTCGCCTACACACTCACCACACACCACACTCACCACACACCACACTCACCTACACACTCACCACACACCGCACTCGCCTACACACTCACCACACACCACACTCACCTACACACTCACCACACACCGCACTCGCCTACACACTCACCACACACCACACTCACCTACACCCTCACCATACACAGCACTCGCCCACACACTCACCACACACCAACTCGCCTACACACTCACCACACACCACACTCACCTACCCACTCACCACACACCACACTCACCTACACACTCACCACACACCGCACTCCCCTACACACTCACCACACACCGCACTCCCCTACACACTCACCACACACCGCACTCGCCTACACACTCACCACACACCGCACTCACCTACACCCTCACCACACACCGCACTCGCCTACACACTCACCACACACCACACTCACCTACACCCTCACCACACACCGCACTCACCTACACACTCACCACACCCACACTCACCTACACACTCACCACACACCACACTCACCTACACACTCACCACACACCGCAATCGCCTACACACTCACCACACACCGCACTCACCTACACCCTCACCACACACGCACTCACCTACACCCTACCACACACCGCACTCGCCTACACACTTACCACACCAACCGCACTCACCTACACCCTCACCACACACCGCACTCGCCTACACACTCACCACACACCGCACTCACCTACACCCTCACCACACACCACACTCACCTACACACTCACCACACACCGCACTCGCCTACACACTCACCACACACCGCACTCGCCTACACACTCACCACACACCCACACTCACCACACACCACACTCACCTACACACTCACCACACACCGCACTCACCTACACACTCACCCACACACCGCACTCACCTACACACTCACCACACACCACACTCACCTACACACTCACCACACACCACACTCACCTACACCCTCACCATACACAGCACTCACCTACACACTCACCACACACCACACTCGCCTACACCCTCAACACACACTATCACTAACCTACACACTCACCACACACCACACTCACCTACACACTCACCACACACCGCACTCACCTACACACTCACCACACACCGCGCTCACCTACACACTCACCACACACCACACTCACCTATACACTCACCACACACCACACTCACCTACACACTCACCACACACCGCACTCACCTACACACTCACCACACACCGCACTCGCCTGCACACTCACCACACACCGCACTGGCCTACACACTCACCACACACCGCACTGACCACCCTCACCACACACCGCACTCGCCTACACACTCACCACACACCGCACTCACCTACACCTCACCACACACCACACTCACCTACACACTCACACACACCGCACTCGCCTACACACTCAACACACACCGCACTCGCCTACACACTCACCACACACCACACTCACCACACACACTCACCTACACACTCACCACACACCGCACTCGCCTACACACTCACCACACACCACACTCACCTACACACTCACCACACACCGCACTCGCCTACACACTCACCACACACCACACTCACCTACACCCACCATACACAGCACTCGCCCACACTCACCACACACACACTCGCCTACACACTCACCACACACCACACTCACCTACACACTCACCACACACCACACTCACCTACACACTCACCACACCGCACTCACCTACACACTCACCACACACCGCACTCGCCTACACACTCACCACACACCGCACTCGCCTACACACTCACCACACACCGCACTCACCTACACCCTCACACACCGCACTCGCCTACACACTCACACACACCGCACTCACCTACACCCTCACCACACACCACACTCACCTACACACTCACCACACACCGCATCGCCTACACACTCACCACACACCGCACTCGCCTACACACTCACCACACCACACTCACCACACACCACACTCACCTACACACTCACCACACACCGCACTCGCCTACACACTCACCACACACCACACTCACCTACACTCACCACACACCGCACTCGCCTACACACTCACCACACACCGCACTCACCTACACCCTCAACCACACACCGCACTCGCCTACACACTCACCACCACCACACTCACCTACACCCTCACCACACACCACACTCACCTACACACTCGCCACACACACTCACCTACACACTCACCACACACCACACTCACCTACACACTCACCACACACCACACTCACCTACACACTCACCACACACCACACTCACCTACACACCACACACCACACTCACCTACACCCTCACCACACACCACACTCACCACACACCACACTCACTACACACTCTCCACACACCACACTCACCACACCACCACTCACCACAACCACACTCACCTACACACTCACCACACACCGCACTCGCCTACACACTCACCACAACACCGCACTCGCCTACACATCACACACCACACTCACCTACCCTCACCACACACCGCACTCGCCTACACACTACCACACACACACACTATACCCTCACCACACACCACACTCACCACACACAACTCACTACACACTCACCACACACCACTCTCCCTACACACTCACCACACACACATCACCTACACACTCACCACACACCCACACTCCACCCTCACCACACACCGCACTCGCCTACACACTCACCACACACCGCACTCACTACACCCTCACACACACACACGCACCTACCCACACACACCGCACCCTACACACTCAACACACACCGCACTCGCCTACACATCACCACACACCACACACCACACACCACACTCACCTACACACTCACCACACACCGCACTCTCACACACTCACCACACACCACACTCACCTACACACTCACCACACACCGCACTCGCCTACACACTCACCACACCACACTCACCTACACCCTCACACAGCACTCGCCCACACACTCACCACACCACACTCGCCTACACACTCACCACACACACTCACCTACACACTCACCACACACCACACTCACCTACACACTCACCACACACCGCACTCACCTACACACTCCACACACCGCACTCGCCTACACACTCACCACACACCGCACTCGCCTACACACTCACCACACACCGCACTCACCTACACCCTCACCACACACCGCACTCGCCCACACTCACCCACACCACACTCACCTACACCACACTCACCCACACCGCACTCACCCACACACTCACCCACACCACACTCACCTACACCACACTCACCCACACCACACTCACCTACACACTCACCAACACCACACTCACCCACACCGCACTCACCCACACCTCACACACCGCACTCACCCACACCCTCACCACACACCGCACTCGCCTACACACTTACCACACACCGCACTCACCTACACCCTCACCACACGCACTCGCCTACACACTCACCACACACCGCACTCACCTACACCCTCACCACACACCACACTCACCTACACACTCACACACACCGCACTCGCCTACACACTCACACACACCGCACCTCGCCTACACACTCACCACACACCACACTCACCACCACACCACACTCAGCTACACACTCACCACACACCGCACTCACCTACACACTCACCACACACCGCACTCACCTACACACTCACCACACACCACACTCACCTACACACTCACCCCCACCAACACTCACCTACACCCTCACCATACACAGCACTCACCTACAACTCACCACACACCACACTCGCCTACACCCTCACCACACACAGCACTAACTACACACTCACCACACACACCACTCACACTACACCCTCACCACACACCGCACTCACCTACACACTCACCACACACCGCGCTCACCTACACACTCACCACACACCACACTCACCTATACACTCACCCACCACACCACACTCACCTACACACTCACCACACACCGCACTCACCTACACACTCACCACACACCGCACTCGCCTGCACACTCACCACACACCGCACTCGCCTACACACTCACCACACACCGCACTCACCTACACCCTCACCACACACCGCACTCGCCTACACACTCACCACACACCGCACTCACCTACACCCTCACCACACACCACACTCACCTACACACTCACCACACACGCACTCGACACACTCAACACACACCGCACTCGCCTACACACTCACCACACACCACACTCACCACACACCACACTCACCCCTACACACTCACCACACACCGCACTCGCCTACACACTCACCACACACCACACTCACCTACACACTCCACACACACCGCACTCGCCTACACACTCACCACACACCACACTCACCTACACCCTCACCATACACAGCACTCGCCCACACACTCAACCACACACCACACTCGCCTACACACTCACCACACACCACACTCACCTACACACTCACCACACACCACACTCACCTACACACTCACCACACACCGCACTCACCTACACACTCACCACACACCGCACTCCCCTACACACTCACCACACACCGCACTCGCCTACACACTCCCACACACACCGCACTCACCTACACCCTCACCACACACCGCACTGCCTACACACTCACCACACACCGCACTCACCTACACCCTCACCACACACCACACTCACCTACACACTCACCACACACCGCACTCGCCTACACACCCCACCACACCCGCACTCGCCTACACACTCACCACCACACCACACTCACCACACACCACACTCACCTACACACTCACCACACACCGCACTCGCCTACACACTCACCACACACCACACTCACCTACACACTCACCACACACCGCACTCGCCTACACACTCACCACACACCGCACTCACCTACACCCTCAACCACACACCGCACTCGCCTACACACTCACCACACACCACACTCACCTACACCCTCACCCACACACCACACCTCACCTACACCCTCACCACACACCACACTCCCTACACACTCGCCACACACCACACTCACCTACACACTCACCACACACCACACTCACCTACACACTCACCACACACCACACTCACCTACACACTCACCACACACCGCACTCGCCTACACACTCACCACACACCACACTCACCACACACCACACTCACCTACACACTCACCACACACCGCACTCGCCTCACACTCACCACACACCACACTCACCTACACACTCACCACACACCACACTCACCTACACACTCACCACACACCGCACTCGCCTACACACTCACCACACACCGCACTCACCTACACCCTCAACCACACACCGCACTCGCCTACACACTCACCACACACCACACTCACCTACACCCTCACCACACACCACACTCACCTACACACTCGCCACACACCACACTCACCTACACACTCACCACACACCACACTCACCTACACACTCACCACACACCACACTCACCTACACACTCACCACACACCACACTCACCTACACACTCACCACACACCACACTCACCTACACCCTCACCACACACCACACTCACCACACACCACACTCACCTACACACTCACCACCCCACACTCACCACACACCACACTCACCACACACCACACTCACCTACACACTCACCACACACCGCACTCGCCTACACACTCACCAAACACCGCACTCGCCTACACACTCACCACACACCACATCACCTACACCCTCACCACACACCGCACTCGCCTACACACTTACCACACACCACACTCACCTATACCCTCACCACACACCACACTCACCACACACCACACTCACCTACACACTCACCACACACCACACTCACCTACACACTCACCACACACCACACTCAACCTACACACTCACCACACACCACACTCACCTACACACTCACCACACACCACACTCACCTACACCCTCACCACACACCGCACTCGCCTACACACTCACCACACACCGCACACAAACCCTCCAGTATAAATAAACATTGACCGCATCCGCGACGCCAATTCCACCTCCCGCTGTGATGGCGCGACCCTGGCTCAGGAGATGTGGAAGTGATTTGTGAGTGGAGAAGCGATGTTGCTGATCCTGCTGATCCTGCTGATGATGCTGACAATACTGTGACGATGTTGACGATGCCCATGTGTGTGTGTGTGCGCGCAGGGGGCGGTGGGTCAGCCAGCCCCAACATGGGCGGGTTCCACTTCACGTTCCGCAACCCGGATGATGTCTTCCGAGAGTTCTTCGGTGGCCGCGATCCCTTCGCCGAATTCTACGGTGAGCGGCGCGCCCCGGCGCAGTGTGGCCAAAGTGTCGGCCGTGGCAGTCGCCCCGGCCTGGCACGGCACTCCACACGGCGGTTAGATGGCCATCGCCATCATGCGCTGGCCAGCAGGGACGTGGGCGCCCGCTGGGACGTGAGGTCTGCGGGGAGGCAGGGGGACGGGTGGACACGGGGATGCAGGAGCCAGCGGGCACGCAGGGAGACGCGGGGCGATGAGGGGCACTCGGTTTTATCGGCGCTATTTGACCGTCGTTGGTCTCGCCGAAAGAGGGGATGCGTTCACGCTGCCGTGGCGGTGTTTGTAAACAACGACAGACTGAGCGTGAAACGTGGAGGCTCAACTCGCGAACGCTGCCGCTCCCGTTGCCGTGGCGGTTCCAGGCCTCCTCTTCCCCCCCCCCCCCCACCTGCGTGCGACCGCTTTCGCGCGGGCGCACCCCGAGATGCGCCGTCACGATTAGAAGCGGCCGTTTGGATTGGGCCTGCGAGGCAGTGCCCCGCGGGAACTATCATAATAATACTTGTACGTCTCGGGATGTAACCGTGTCTGGGGGCCGCTGTCCTAGCGACGCGTGGGTGGGGGGTAGCAGGAGGTGGCATTAATGAGGAGGTCTTCGTGAGAAACACGGAGCGTGTTGATTGGGCGCCACGGTTGGGAAATGTTAACTCCTTAGCAGGTATACAGGAGGTTGTGGGTTCCCTCCCGACGCTGACGCCTGTATATTTGGAGTTTGCGTCTCCTCTCCCCGTGATCACGTGAAGTTTTTTCCAGGGCCTCCGGTTTTTCCCTCCACATTTAAAAGATAGTTTAGTTCATAGTTTGATGAGGTGACGAGGGTGGTGGAGCACAGTGCGGATCAGAAGCCCGCGACGGTGAAAGCTAATACGCTGACTGACGCCACTGTAGCCCCGAGAAGAGGAAGGGGATGGAAACTCAGCTCTGATTAAATCTCCCGCTGTGACGCTCTCCCCGCGCTCTCTCTCCCTCTCCCCCTTCATCCCCTCCTCGCGCGGGCGCAGCCCCCCCCCACACCCCACAGAAGACTTACACGACGCTTCCGCAGCTTGCGGGGACAGGAGCGCAGCCGCAGCCACGGATCTTCTCCTTCCCCTCGTTCGGAGCCTTCCACCACCTCCTCCACATCCTTCGACTCCGGTGAGCTAGCCCAGCCACCCGCTCACCCCTCGCTCACCCGCACGCCACTCGCTCACCCACTCATCTGCACTCACTCGCACAACAACATGATCACACACAATAACCGCCATTCAGCACTAATTGGCGGTGATGTCACAACGGCGCTTGTGCCATGCTAGCGGCACTTTGAGGTCACTTAATGTGTCCAAGGCACACTGGTAGGAGGTCGAAGACCCAGACCCAGGTGCCATGGGTCGACTGACTGCGATGGCTGGCTGTTCAACCACCTGTCCTCCCCACTGTGTCAACTTGCGCTTTGTAGCTGCCCGGCACCTGCTCGTTGTTGAGAGCGTCGCTCCTGTGCCCTACGCTGTTGATTGAGGGTGACTGCCTCCGCTGCCCCGTAGCATCCTTCACGAGCCTCTTCCCATAGAGGTACCAGTCATCGGCAAGTCCAGTTGGCTCCACATCCTCGTGTATTACATAAGTACGTGTCTTCTCTCGTCCGTGCCGTGCCCATCTAGCCCCTCTATCCAGCCCAACAGAAGCTGTTTAGGCATTCGGTGACTGGGCAATGCGGGCTATGACCCAGCCAGTACTCTCGCCTGCCAGAGGAGCTCACCGGTGTGAATATATTCAGATATCAAGTAACTATGAGCTCCTCGCACAATTCAGTCTGGTTAAACCCAGGATGGATCATAGGCAGGTCAGCCTGAATGTTTCAAACTGGCACAAGATGTGTTGCCTCAGAGAGGTCCACGTTTCGCAAGCATGGAGAAGGGAGCGCATAACTCTGGCCGAAAAGACCCGGAGGTTCGTGTGGACGGACAGACCAGGTAGCTTCTCCACCGCGTTATGCAGCTGATAAAATATCCTGGCATTCCACTGATTTGGAATGAAGCTTCTGCTGCCAAACCGGAGCAGGTCATAAGCACACTACCCAGGTACAAAAACGTCTACGCTCTCTCCACAGCCTCCCACTAGGGTGCCGCGGTGGTGAGATGTGTGATCTCCCTCACCTGGTATGCAGGAGGTCGTGGATTCGATCCTGTATATTTGGAGTTTGCATGTTCTCCCCATGGCTACGTGGATTTTTATCCGGGTCTTCCAGCTTTTCCCTCCACTTTTAGAAACATGCACTTTGAGTATTTGTCTGCTATAAATTTCCACATGATAAGCCAGTTAGCACTATCATTTGTAGCCAGGTAGCTTCTGGCTAGCTCGGTGAGCTTTATCTGGTAATTAAAATAGTTTTAGTAACTGCCCATCATTCATGGGGAGTTGAGGGGGGGGGGGAGCGTTTGGCACGAAAAAACCAGGCAGGTTCAGCAGCAAAGCCTCCAACTCCTCAGAATGAGCAACAATTACCCATCATCGGCATACATAACATGGTTGACCAATCGGGATCCATCCCTTGACCGCACCTGGGCATCAAACAGTCTCCCATTGTAGCTGTACCAGATAGGAATTCCTCTCATACACCCATGGACAGTTTCTAGAAATATGTGTTTTAAAAATACGTAAAATAATGTGGGAGCCAGGAGAGATATCCCTGTTGCACCCCAAGGTGAGCGGGGAATGGCTCCGACTCCCGGCCACACAACTTTATCTGGGCCTGCCCACCATCATGATGAAGTCCCTTAATTATTGTGAGCAGAGAGTCGGGGACCCCAAAAGCATAAAGAACAACCCAGAACCCTGGCCTATCGAAGGCACCATTGGCCTTTTTTTGCAGTTTCCTGCCCCAAGTGGAAGACTGTCCACTCCTTATGTTGACCGGAGCCAGAACCAGTCCACCAGACATCCCGAATTCCACAGAGGTCCAGGCAGTGCCGCTCCATCTCCTGACAGAGGAGTGGCATCCCATCCTCTGCAGTGAGCGTTCAGGCATTCCACGTGGCAAACCGCAGTGGTTTCCTGTCCCTGGAGGAACCCCAAGTTGGGGGGGGGTGTAGGGGGGTGGAGGGGGGTTCACTCTTGCTCAGCCATAGACGCCTGTCCCCCTGGGGCCTCCAGCAAAGCTGAGTTGGGTGTTTCCACCGTGGTGTTTGGTCGGAATAGTGCCAGGTGCAGTGGTTACCAGCACCTCGCACATCACACTGATTTAACTGCAAAGACAAAGATCCCCTTATAGCCCGAACAGACATTTGAGGC